CGGCCCCCAGCCACCCCGCGACTGCCGGTCGGTGCCAGCCCCGCATTACCTCTTAGCATTTACCGTAACGAATGTACCACAAGTAACTGATAATCACGAATGTGAAGAACTTAGAATTTGCCCAACAAAGATCCCCCTTTTGCTTCCCAATCACAGGAGCAGCAAAACAATCAATTTGGGAGTTCCCTTTGGTCTTCGGGACATTTAAAATAGACTGATTTCCTTTCCCATCACTCCTTATGAGGTATCCTAACGCCTCATTTAGAAAAAATGCGGGAGGTGGGGGGTGGATTAGAGCCAGAAAAGGTGCTTTCCTTTCGCCCTCAGGCCTTTGGGTGCTTCACAGGGTGTCTTCTCACCTTGTCTTCCCTCCTCCCTGTCCCACCGCCCTCGGGGTCCTCATCCAGAATCCCTGCTTAACTCCCGGGACCACACAGCAGGAAGTTCTGCCACTAGCCGCCTCTGCTTTGGGTTCTTGAAGACTATTAGGAAACTAATACATAGTATACATGCTCGCTCACTCCTGCCTGAGAACTCCTTAGTCATGTGAAAAACGTGCAATGTATCTAAGATGACAGTGGGCTGTTTGTTCACTCACTGAAGCGATAAGGGTGGATTGAATTCTGGCCTCTTCCCTACTAACATGTAACTTTTCCCTTCCCGCCCCCTTCTCTCCCCTCTTGTTTCCAGATAGGCACTTGGAGACTTATCTGTTGGACTGTGAAAACACTTCAGGCACCTCGCCAAGCCTTCCCCAAGCCCCCAAGCAGCCGCAGAAGCGCTCCCGGGCCGCCTTCTCCCACTCTCAGGTCATCGAGTTAGAGAGGAAGTTCAGCCACCAGAAGTACCTGTCGGCCCCTGAAAGGGCTCACCTGGCCAAGAGCCTGAAGCTCACCGAGACCCAAGTGAAAATTTGGTTCCAAAACAGACGCTACAAGACCAAGCGAAAGCAGCTCACGTCGGACCTGGGCGGCCTGGAGAAGCACGCCTCCTTGCCAGCCTTGAAAGACGAGGGCTTCTCCCGGGCCCCCCTCATCTCCATGTACAGCAGCTACCCTCACTACCCCTACCTGTACTGCCTGGGCGGCTGGAGCCCAGCTTTCTGGTAACGCCAGCTCAGACGATGAACGTTCATGATCAGAAACTGCCTTCCCCAGGTTGTCTTTCCTCAAGGCAAAAGAGGCCGGGCCGGGAGGACTGGGGAGCAAGAGGCATGCAGACCAAGACTGTTGGAGGTTTGCATGGAAATTCCAGATTCTTCACTGGTGGGCCAGAGAGAGGTCTGGACCAGTGAATAATTTAATATCCAAATAGTTCCCCCAACACATGACGTAGGTCCTTTTTGCCGTTAGAGACCTGTTTGAAGTGGGGAAGGGTAGAGTCAAGTGCGGTTTGCAGCCCTGTGTGGGCTGCTGTGTGCGCTGTCCGTGTTGCTGCTAAGGATTACGTTCCTGAGCTCCCTTCTCCCATGTAACCGGGCAGAGACTGAGAGAGCAAACCTGAGGAGAGAGGACAGCCAAGTGAGGATGTCACCTACCAAATTAGACTGAAGTTCAGAAGCCTCATTGGCCTTGGAATATGACCAAGGTTTCTCTTTGTCCCTGTAAGGGAGGGACACAGAGGGTCTCGCCGAGAAACCTGTCGTGCTCAGGTTTAGTCCTTTGTAAAGAGTTCACCAACCTAAGTATTTGCAAGGTGGCCCAAGTAGACCGGGAGTTATTTGCTGTGGGTTTAAGACAAGCTGTATAACCAGGACACTACTGTAAGCAGCGGGCCAGGCCAGAAGGATCCCCGTGTGTCCAAGGAGAAGTCCCCACGCTGCTGCGGGAGGCATTGCAATTTTATTAGCAAAAGGTAAAAAACAAACAAAAAGCCTCTCTGGATCTTTTGCCCTGGGTCCGAGAACTTAGAATGAGAAGGCTCCTGGAGTTCTCGGGCTGTATTGCATGCCACATCAAATGATCACATAATTCTTTACGTGCCTTCCTCCTCATATTTTCTGTCCCGTTTGCACAGCAATCACCCACTGAAATGGCTTCTTTTCAATCCAGACTTCGGGTCTGGCTGCACCTAACATATGCCTTCCTTATTTAGCCTGAGATCTGGTCCATTTTTTTGTTTTGTTTGTTTTTTCTCTCTCAAACTTTATCTCTCCTGGGTTAAAAAAGGGAGGAGGACAGATTCTGAACTGGCTAAAATACATGTGTTTTGTTTTTTATATGTCTAACAATTCTTATTTTTTTCTTTTAAAAATATACAGCATTAAATCCCAAATCCTATTTAAAGATTTGACAGCTCCAGAGGTCACTGCTGCTTTTATAGGACTTTCTGGTGGCTGTTGTTACAGTTCAAAGTCTGACAACCCTTTGGGATCCCCGCAGGCGGAGGAAGTAAGAGGAATGGCTTTCACACACGGGAAGGCAGTGCACAATGCAGGGTCGGTACCATTGAGCTGGCCATGGAGATTCAGGGCTCAGGGCTGGGGCTGGTGGGGTGTGGGGCCCGGGAGCAGGCCTAAGCCAGCAGGTCGTTATCTCCCGAGGGGTCCCTGGGTGGTGGTGGTGGTGTGCGGAAGAAAAGTCTGCCTGGGCCTCAGAGAGCCCAGTCCAGGAGAGAGCACTTTGCAGAAAGAGGCTAAGAAAAAAAGAAACAGTTTTCAAAATGCAACATTATTGTGACTCCCATCACGAAACAAAAAATAACTTTCCAAATGCTTCGGGAACTGTGTTTAATGCCTGTAAAAAAAAATGGATCCCCTGACTCACCTCGTGATTTCAGAGAGAACCAGAGAGAACGAGAAGAGGGCAAAGGAGAAATGTGGCCACCCTTCTGTTTCCACTCTGTTATCTCAGGTGACCTGGGAGAGGGAAGACAGAATGAAGAAAGCCAGTCACTAATGAGGTACCCTGAGGTCTGGAAATCTCTTGATCCCACCACTTAATTCTCTTTAGTGAGAAACCTTTCAATTTCCTCCTATTAAAAGGGCCAATTTACTGTTGGTGGCAAACCCACCAAAGTTGATAGAATGTTGGCCCATTTCACCCCAGTTTCTAGCGCTCAAACTCCACATTGAAATATTGTAAAACGCCACGTGCTGCTGACAATGCTGGGAGCATAGGAGGCAGCATGGCCTACATCGCTTTCCCCTTTTCACATGTCTCCTAAGATACGCGTTCAAAGCTCATTCTCTGCTCAGTACCCTTTCTCCCCCACCTCCTAAATTTAGTTCTTTCAACCTGCAATTCTGCAAGTATTTAACATTTCACGGTGATATATACTGTGTTGCAAAAAAAAAAAACCCCAAAAAACAAAAGAGTCTTTGTTTAAAATTTTTTGGTTTGTGAATCCATCCTGCCTTTCCCTGCTTGGAACTAGTTACTCCATCCTATCTGAACTGGTAGAAGGGCATTTGAAGAGCTAGTATGTCGGTATCTGGTGGGGGACCTGCAGGGCACCCCAGACCGCTTCACCCAGATGGCCCGTTTTCTCGCCTGTGTAACAAAATCGGTTTGGTTTGCTCAACGTGCATAACAGACTCCGCTCTGATCTATAACATGCCAAGGCCTGTCTGTGACTTAAAGTTGAATAAAGTATCCGAACCCAACTTTATTTTTCTATGTATTTTTGGCAACATGAGTGTTTTAAAAATAAAGGACTGTGTCTCTATTAGGCATATCTGTGTGGTTTTCGGTTTCCTAAAGACTGTATGTTATTGAGCTTACATATTTCTTGTTACCTCGTTCTCCCACCCTCATCCTGCCCGGCAAATCTGTGGAGAACAAATCGTCAAAAGCCGTCGCTTAGAGCAGACAATGGTCATTCTTTTAAAGGCACCGGCCTCTGTTCCTGGTAAGTCAAGTGCAGGAGGAAGGAATTTCTGTCTTCAGTGTAATAATCACCTGTTCCAGCCCCTGACAGGGACACGTAGACCACAATAATAATTCGTTTAAAATTCCCCTTTCACTTCCCACCAGCCCCTCACACTGCAGCTGCTCCCCTGGCCCCTGCGTCTCCCTGCAAATGTCACCTTCATTCAGGGCAGACAGACCTCTGGCAAGCAACACCCTTGAATCGAAATCACGAGTATTGAAAATAGGTTTCACATAAAATATATAAATAACACGCCCTTCATCCCCCGGCACTTAGACTAGCTTCATTAAAGCCCACAAGCAGAGAGTCTCATGCACCTGATTACCTGACAGACTTGATGGATTTCTTGCCCCCTCCTTCAAGGAAATGGAAGCTTAAGGAATAAGGTACTTACTCGAGGTAAAACATATCATAATTTCAAAGTTGGCTCTAATCCCTTAAGTACATTGCACACACAGGTGGGGCCTCCCGTAGCGTGTTCACATGATGAGGTTTAACTCTTTGCTCAAATCTGCAGCCATCGTCCCCTCCCCAGGAAAGCCCTCAGCTCTCAAATTACAAAGGCTCTGGCAGTGAGTTAACAATGTGGATTTTTTTAAACCATTAAAAGTGACTAATCCAGGAAATTAAACAAAAATCTCTCATCTCTAAGGAGAGTTCTCTGCCTCTCCTTTGCCCCTCTTCCAGCTTGCCTCGGTGCCTCAGCGGGTCCCAGGCGGCCTTCTCCGGCAGCTCTCCCCCTCGTGCCCCATGTCTGTGGTCTTCGGAATCCCTTTGCAGTCTGCCTCTCACGCTCCTTCAGTGCAAATTTCTAGTCACGGTAGTTTTGTCCCTGGTGTTCCCTTTGGTCCTCCCCAGGCCTCCTTGGGAAGGCCATTGCTGTCAGAAGGGAACTAAATGCAATCAGGGACAACAGTTTGCTGCTCACACGGCCGATTTCCTTTCATTTTTAGAGCTTTTATATTGCGAGTGTACAGTCAGCGTAGGTCAGTGATGGCGAACCTCTGACACCTCTGACACGTGAACTCATTTTTTTGGTTGATTTTTCTTTGTTAAATGGCATTTAAATATATCAAATAAATATCAAAAAAATAAGTCTTTGTTTTACTATGGTTGCAAATATCAAAAAATTTCTGTATGTGACACGGCACCAGAGTTAAGTTAGGGTTTTTCAAAATGCTGACACGCCGAGCTCAAAAGGTTCGCCATCGCTGCCCTAGAGTCTCGGGGGGATGTTAATACCACGCATCTTGAAGCTGACCTCGGAGGGAACAGAGGCCGTGATGAGAAAGGTGCTTAGTTGTGGGGCCCTGTGATGGGGAGCTGCACGCAGATGGTTTCTTGAGAGGGCGCCCAGCTCAGGAGGTTGGCCCGAGAAGAAGTGAGGACTGCAGGAAGGGCCCAGCCATGTATGCCGGCGAGAGTGAGGGGGCCCCCAATACTGTACGAAGCTCCAAAGCCAATGTGTCCCAGACTGAGGGGAGAGGTGGGCACTTATAACCCCAGCCTCAGCCATCCCCCGAGAGTGGGAATAAACTGAGGCGTTGTGGTTCTGTTAGAAGGGCAAGGCTCTCAAGGTTTGGATGGTTCTTACTAAATGCTATCCTTGATAAATGTTAAAATACAGTCGTATCTTGCACAGGATGAGTTTGACCTAATCCAATAGGATACGTTTAGTCAACTGCAAAGAAGAAATCAACATGTAACTACCCAAATCATGTATATAAGCAATGGCTAAGGTTTCCTTCAGGGAGACAGGGCTTTGGGTGTGAATCCTGTCTCCTTTATTTGTTGCAAGTAAATAAAACTACCTAACGACCAACCACACCTCATTCTCGAATAGGACACCCCAGGCAGTGAACCCTTGAGTTAGGTAATAGTTCTTTCTGAGTAAGGCCTGGCCACAGGGACACAGCTGTGAGTCACCAGCACCCACACCCCCAGCGGCTGTGGGGTGCATCTCCCGTATCGGGGGCTCAGTGGAGCGCCGCGGAATTCACTCTAGGACATATGATCCTTTCCTTGGTCGCTCTTAGGACATTGGTCACTCTCACAGGGCCACGGTCACCGCCAGTCTTTGCAGTGAAGAAATCTGAGTTTGGGGGGTCCGAGTAGGCTCCGCGCTCTGAGTTCTGCACTCAGACATCGCTCTCTGCCCCTCCCACAGCCATCGTGAACATGTCACCAGGGCTTGTTTTCCCAAGCCCAGAGTTATTTACTGCCCAAGAAAAGGGGCAGGAGCAATAGTTCTGGGACACAAAGAGCTCCTAGTTTAGCCATAGACTTGGCCTTTGCGCAAACTTTCCCAGACAGACTACCCATCAAAAGTCGGCAAGGGAAAGAACAGGAATCTCAGTTTCCACACATGTCCTCCTCTCACCTCCAAAAGACTTCGCCTATGACCTTGATTTAATTCCTGAGTCTGCTCTGGGCCTAATACGGGTCATAGGAGAGATTTAGGAGAGATTTTTAGGCTAGATCCTTGTGTGGCCAGTCTCCACTTACATCCAGCCCATCCAGGGATGAGCATGGCCCTTGTTGGGAAGGTGATGGGGTGTGACACAGAGGAAAGTCCCACTTTCTCTGGAATGACTATAGGATATTTATAGATTTTTTTTTAAAACCTAGAAACCATGCGGTGCATGGGAAATCGATGCTGATTTTGTTCTGTTGAAGGTAGAAGTCCAGCAGCATTTAATCTCCAACACCAGCCACCCCCACAGTCTCTTGCATTGGCAGGATAGTGCTCAGCCCCCTGGTGTCAGCATTGGCTGCACATATCCTGGGAGTCTACAAAAACATGCAAAGGCCCAGCCCTACTTAGCACCAATTGCATTGCAATCTCCGTGGGTAGAGCTTCAGGCATCAGTATTTTTTTAAATACTAATGTCCAAGATTACAAATCACTGGCTTAGCCTCTTTCCAGCTGGTTTGCCCACTCAGCCTCATAAGTGCCAGGACAGGAGAGAGATACCTGGAGGAGCCAGGAAGGGAGGAGCTGGGGTGCGCTTTTCTTTTCCTTCTTGGCATGCTCATTCTTTTTATAGAGAGCAGATGTTCAGCCTTCTTACTTTCCTCTCAAGCCTCCTCCTCCGGAATTTCTGACACCATCCGAAGGCCCTCTGTAATCCGGGAAAGCCCAGCTCCTTCCAGGTCATCCCTCTCAAAGCTGCAGGGGCCCAAAGCTGGGTGCGTGGCTGACCTGATCATCTACAAGGACTTGCTACTCGTCTCCAACCCTGGCCCATCAGGGCCGACTGCTTGTGGAAGACAGAAAAGATCCCATCCTTAACTGTGCTTTCTTATCTTTGAGGGGTTTCTTATTGGTTTCTTTGTTTTATTGAGATAGTTGACAGGTAACACTGTATTGGTTTCAGCATACAGCATGATGATTTGATATTTGTATAGACTGAGAAACGCTCGCCACAAGTCTCGCTGCCACCGTCCTTTTCACACATCCTGGAACTGCAGAGCCTGTTTGTGCTCCACTGGGAACAGCGGGTGTCATTTAACATCTGTCAGTGAGCGTCACGCTTCCCTGACAACTCATCTATCAGGATTAAGTAGTGTCTTAGCACTGACATAACATTTACTCTTCCTTCTGCCAAATCGG